CTATTTTGTACTATTTAGTAATTAGTGTTTCATAAATGAGTCATGGATTAGAGTGCAAACAATTAAAAAGCACCATAGACGAAATGACTAGGGTGGAGAAGCTTGCTAAATAAAATAATAAATAAATGAAAACATATAAGCCTACCTGTATTCCCCTTTAGGATCATAGATGAATAACACACAACCCAAACCTAGGGGAAAATGTTTAAGAACATGACGTCAAATAGTGACAGTGGGCGAGAACAGAGAGAGGGAATGAATGGGTAGGGGTGATATGGATGAATGACTGAATGGATGGATGAATGAAAAAATGAATGAAATCAACCAAGAAAGCAGTTGATAAAAAACGACCAACACCTTACCTAAAACTTTACTCAGTTGACTTCTTGTTGACTCTGAAAACTTATTAGTGAATGGTTTGTCATGTTCAAGGAGGATAAGAACATCCTTCTCTGTCAGGAAGACTTGCCTCTTAGTGACGTATGAGAAAATGCTATCAATACCCTACAAGRATGAAAGAAACAAACGAATTAATTGACATTATTTCCTGTTGAATTTCCCATTTAAGATCACATTATTCACCAAATATTTAGGGATTGAGGTTGTGTACCATCACATGCCCACGCCAATAATACTGCTTGGACTGCCTGTGGTTAGACGGCAAAACAATAAAATCCCTTTGTTCTTGGGAATTGAATTCTTTCTCATGTAGAACGATTGTACTGTTCCTGTCATCTAACATGGCTGCCATCRTGTGATGGTGCAAAACCTCTATTGGTCATAAAGTAAGGGGCTGGGTAGAAAAACTGGCTTTGAAGGAGCCCTTTTTTTGCTGGCCTGTAACAAGGTTGAACTATGACCCCCCCTCCCCCCCTCCCCCAAGTTTCCATACAGAAAACACAAATGATGTAATGTAGAGTTTTATTGTGTTACCCCCTGTTTATACCCAATCCCCCCCTTTACTTTATGAYGAGTCCCTCTAATAGTTTTTTAACACAGTCCTACAGTATCCTAGACAAGGGCGGATCCAGCCAAAATTTTAGGGGGTGCTAATTGAGTTTTTTCCGTGAACACAATGGAAAACAATAAAAAAAGCATCTAATTCTTCAGTTTTGTTTTGTTTTGTTTTGTTTTTTCTGCTGAAGGGGGGCTTCAGCCCCCCTTTGCTCCTCCCCTCCCCCTGGATCCACCCTTGCTAGAAAAAGGGACCGTCCATAGTGCATTTCATGCTTGGTATGCAACATGCTACCAAAACTTTCACCAAGCTTTTTCAAAATAGCTGTATACTAGGAGTTATGAATGGCACAAGTATTTTAATTTTTGAGCTTGCAGTAAATCCATCATTGATTACCTCTTGCATGATCCTGAAGTCACAGCCATGTTCATCACTGTCGCAACGACTGAATGCCTTCACACCAACATTTATTATCTTGGAGGGAAAGTGGAAAAAGAATAGTTTAAAATAACAGTGAAACACTTGTTTCTAAAGAGTTATAAATAAATTGCTCTTAATATAGAAAGAAACATATTATTTTATCCTCCACAAACATGCTAAATTAGCCATGCCCTGACTTAGATCAGCCCAGAGGTTGTTTCAGGGTT